GGGGTTTGGGGTTTAGGGTGTAGTAGTTTAGGGTTTAGGGTTTTAGGGTTTAGGGGTTTAAGGGTTTGGGGGTTTAGGGTTTTGGGTTTTAGGGTTTTAGGGTTTAGGGGTTTAGGGTTTAGGGTTTTAGGGTTTAGGGGGTTAGGGGTTTGGGGGTGTAGGGGTTTAGGGTTTAGGGGTTTAAGGATTTAGGGTTTAGGGGTTTAGGGGTTTAGGAGTTTAGTGTTTAGGGGTTTAGGGGTTTAGGGTTTAGGGTTGACATTTCAGGGTCCGGGTTTCGTAATCAGGGGGAGATGTCAGTTTGTTCTCTTCTCATCCTGTGGAATCTCCAACACAGTTGACTTCAACCAGGACCCCTCCAACTCTGCCTAAAGGACAGCTCAAATGAACCCTTATAGATTCAGGAAGCCTCAAGGGAACCTCTACCTTAAGGGTCCACGTACCAAAGAGTAATACCCTGGCCCAAAGTACCTATATAGGGACTACTTTGCGGCCAAAGTATATACTATTTGGGTACATGGACCCTTACACCCTAACCCTGAACCCTTATGGCTGTTACCCTTATGAACCCCTTAAAGGAGCCCTTAAAGGAAGAGGTTTTGGGTTTGAGCCGAAGTGCCAGTTCCCAGATTTCGGTGGCCCAGGGCTTTAGGCTCAGAGTGTTGGACTTCTGAAGCTCTGGGATTTAGGAGTTGAGTGCCAGAATGGCCGTCTCATCCCCCGGATCCTTGAGGTCGTCTAGAGGAGTTGTGTCGCTGACGGATGGTTCGGAGACAGAGCACGTCGGCGCCTTTGCTGTGGCTGCGGAGTCGGACAACGTTGTGGTCGCTGGTGGTCTGGAGGATGAAGGCCAGTCACCTTACAGGAGCTTCTGGCGCTTCGTTTGGCTGATCAGGCCGTTGCAGCCATGGAGGCTCAGCAATGCCTCTCATGCTGATTCTGTCAGTGGAAAACGGAAAGCCTCCCAATAATGACTATACTATTCTGTGCCGGGCCGATAGTTCGACCCACTAGCTTGAACATGCTGGAGCAGCCTACTCCACCCCCACCCCCTTCCCCATAACTATACTCCTCACGAAAGTGAGCCTTGGGGCCTCCTCCTCAGACTAAAATGTATTGCAATGATACAGCGGGGTAGCAATTACTCCGCTAGCCTGCGTAGGGTAAACGAGACTCTCCGAGTCTGTATGCTAGACAATACTCGATGTGGCTCGAAACTCCCGGCCCGGAGATCTGTGTATATCCGTACATAATACATATATATATATATATATATACATATATGTATACACACATATAGTCTATGTATATGTATGCAGCAGACTATAAGATGTCGACTAAAGACGAGAATGATACATCAGGTTTTGTTATGACAACCCCAAACCCTAAACCTTAAACCCCAAACCTTAAACCCTAAACCTTAAACCCTAAACTCTAAGCTCCAAGCTCTAGGAAGCCCAAGCCCTGAACCCTAAGCCGAAGCCGTCCAGGAGAAGAAAAACAAGTATCTGCTGAAGTACGGAGGCGGGAATCCAGGATTTAGGGTTAGGGTTTAGGGTGTAGGGTTTAGGGTGTAGAGTTTAGGGTTTAGGCTTTAGGGTTTAGGGTGTAGGGTTTAGGGTTTAGAGTTTAGGGTTTAGGGTGTAGGGTTTAGGGTTTAGGGGTCAGGTTTAGGGTGTGGGTTTGCATGGTTTAGGGTGTAGGGTTTAGGGCTCAGGTGTGAGCGAAACCTGTCAACTCCCAAACCAGATGGTCAAACGTCGGCTTGCACGGAATGATTATTTCAATTCCAGCTGGGAAGAATCAGTCACATGTGTATGTGTGTGTGTGTGTAGTAATGCTCCGTTTGTAGATGACGTGACTAACTAAATTCGTAGTGTTGCTGGCTTTCATTGTGACGGAGAGGCGGTTGCAAATTTCCCCCTCACTGTTCAGACAGGTTTGGTATACTCTGGTGGCTAAGTCTGCTACCGATAAAGCTTCAGGGCTGTTATGAGATCCTGAGGCTATCTCAGAAAATGGATGGTGCTTTGAGTCAATGTAGGTGGCCGAGGGGACAGCCAACGACCTTCCGTGAAAGGAAACAACAAAGACTCCACAGTGCTGTCAATTCTACTATACACTACCATGATAGTACTAACCGTTACTAACCCTAAGCCTTAAGCCCTGAACCCTAAACCTTTACGATGATATCATTACAAGCATGATCAGCCGCGCAGCTGAATCGGGCAATCATGTACGCTCCCAGAGATCCCAATACTCCTAAATCAAGGAATACACCTCAAACCATAGGAGGCTTACTAATTACTATTACTTAAACAAATCAAGGAACTGAAACAAGTGACAACAGAATTCAGGTGCATTTTGTATTTACGCTGTTTATTTTTGCATATGCCTTAAGTAAGAGGTATTGGCATCTCAAGGGTGCGTCTGTTGGCGATGACATCGATGATGGCAAGCACGGTGGTGCTAACGATAATGCCATTGATTGTTGGTGTGTTCGACAGTTTGTGTGCGGTTGTTGTTGATGATGATGATGATGATGTGGTGGAGAAGCATGACATATACCGACATGACCATCTGAAGCAGTGCGGAGGCGACCGTCACACTTTTTAGTGAACACTGTTTTGACCGTCTTCCAAGTGAGTAAGATGGTCACGGTTCAGGAGATTGTGATGACGATGATGATGCCGATGAACCTTGAGGAAACTATGTTGCTGCTCTTTTCTTTGGTAGCGACAATCATGACGGTGCTGATTGTGATGGTGCTGGGTGATGTTGATGGTGGCCATGATGCTTAAAGGATGACTGGGCGGCAGGCGAGGGTGGTAAGGAGATGATGATCTTGGTTCTGGTGATGCGGGTGATGCGAGTGATGAAAAGCCGTGCTGAATGGGAGATGATGGTGATACTACTGAGAAGATGCAAAATGATGATGCCACCAAGCTGGTGTCGACCAGGGCGAAGATGATTTTGTGTTGTTTGCACTTGCAATTGCCAATCGTGTTGCTGCTGTTGCTGCTGCTGTGGCGGCGGCCGTGGTCGTCGTGGAGGTGGTCCTGGTCGAGGTCGCGGTCGTGGTGGCGGTAGTGGTGGTGATGCTGGTGGTGGTGGTGGCGGTGGTAGCTACTGTGGCTACTGCAGTGCTCGATGGTGTTTTGCTGATGTTGGTGCTGCCGCTGCCGCCGCTGCAGTTGGCTGCTGCTTTTCTTGGTATTCTTATAAACTGGGTTCTTGTTAAGGGATTTAATTCAAGTTACCATAATAAGGAAACCATATTATTTACTATAGATCCCTATTATGGTAACTTAAATTAAATCCCTTAACAAGAACCCAGTAAATCACATTGCTAGAAGATGTGTGGTCGCTTGATCGGGAATCTCACCTGTGTGATTCCTGCAATATGCATTCTGTATCAATACCGTGCTACGGTTTAGGGTTTAGGGTTAAGGGTTTTGGGTTTAGGGTTTACTACCACTACAGAATTACTGCGATTCTTGGCGTTCGAGACTCTCCTGCTGAAGGCAAGTTGGCGGAACAGTACCTTGAAAGGAACTACGGTATTGATGCTTGGCTTCCACCAGGCCATGAATTCGAAGCCGTCCACGGTCCGTTTTTTGCTTCCTGAAGTGTTTCATCTGCGACTTTGATGCTGGCCGAGTATGCCGGCCATAAACACCAAGCGTGTTCAGCGGTGCACGTCCGGACGAAGCCAGTGCAGAATCTGTAGGGCATGGTTGTTGGATGAAGGTGCTCGGAATCATGGAAGTTTTATGCCAGTTTGGGTTTACGATACAACATGCAGTGGGGTTCAACTTGCCTATCTCCAAGGTTAAGCGTTTCCTTCTGACTCAACCCTTGTGTGATGCAAGGCCTTTGATGGGTTTCAGTTGTGGATCAAGCCTGATCAAGCGAACCCTAAACCCTAAACCCAACCCTAAACCCTAAGCCGGCTGAGGATGCTGCCTGCGTCGAGGACACGAAGAACCCACAAAACAGCTGGAAGCCACACTGTTCGGAACTCAATGGTTTAGGGTTTAGGGTTTAATGTTGGGGCCCGATAATTACCGATACCATTTTGGGGTTCCTTGTTCTCATTGTAGTATAATGGGCCCTAAGCCCTATTCGAATTCTTGAGGCCCCTATACTATGCCCTAACCCTTAGACCCGAAGCCCGCCCTAAACCCAAAGCCCTTGTAAGCGCGAAGCTGGTGGTCACGGAAGTCATTGGTTGGAACCTTTTCAGAAAACGGACCCCCGCATCCAGGCCAAGGCGTGCTCTAGAAGCTTAGGGTTTAGGGCTTAGGGATTAGGGATAATGGGGCTTAGGGTTAGGGCTTAGGGTTTAAGGGTTTAGGGTTTAAGGGTTTAGGGTTTAGGGTTAGGGTTTAAGGGTTAAGGGTTCAGGGTTTAGGGTAAGCCACTGAGGGTCTGTGTGTGTGAGGCGTTGGTTCATGGGGCTTACGAGGTTTTGGCTGCGACATGATCCAAAAGGGGCCCCGGATTGGCTTTACCCCCTAAACCCTAAAGCCTAAACTAGCCAGACTCCGAGCAGACAGGAAAGCCCTAAAAAAATAAAAGAACAAACTAAACCCTCAACCCTAAACCCCAAACTAAACCCTAAACCTAAACCCCAAACTAGACCCTAAACCCTAAACCCCAAACTAGACCCTAAACCCTAAATCCTGCTTTACTCACAGGAGCAAGCCTAGAAGGCATCCTCCACCGTCTGAGCCTATGCCCGGACCCGAACCTCAAGTCTCAATCCTACACCGCAACCTGCAAAGATTCAGGGTTGGGGTTTAGGGTTAGGGTTTAGGCTTTAGGGTTTAGGCGATAGGCTTTAGGCTTTAGGCTTTAGGCTTTAGGGTTTAGGGTTTAGGGTTTAGGGTTAGGCTTTAGGCTTTAGGCTTTAGGCTTTAGGCTTTAGGCTTTAGGCTTTAGGCTTTAGGCTTTAGGCTTTAGGCTTTAGGGTTTAGGGTTAGGCTTTAGGGTTAGTATTTAGGGTTCGGGTTCCATGTGAACTCCAATTGTGCCCTAAACCACGAACCGGCAGACCTTGTGGCATGACCGAACTTTAAACCCCCTATATCCAACAGAAGAGTACAATTGCGAGAAGCTTCCCGAAAGGCTCAGGATTTTGGGGAGATGGGCTGGGCTGGGGTGTGGTCTAATCGACTAGGCCCGGCCAACCTAAAACTCTGCAGTAGGTCACTAGGCTTCTATTTAAGGGTTAGGACCCTAAAATCCAAGCCTTCTGGAAGCTATATGGGCCCTGAAACCCCGAGCAGTTAGTCTTCAATCCTCCGATGGTTAAATAACCTGAAAGAGCCCTTGGATGTTCCACTACGGTTGATGATATAAATCCTGCCTTGCCCATAATAAGGAATATAACACAATTCCCATAGTTTAGGGTCCTTAACTTAAGG